AATGATACTGGCCAGAACAATGCCGAAGAGGTTAGCTCATCAGCTGATGAAGACAACAACGGAGCTACACAGCAGATATCCAACGTGAAAGATTGTGGTACGCAAGCATACAGAAGGTTGGCGAGACTGGCAAAGAAGGGACCACGTCAAAGTGAATGTCACGGCTGCTGCATAGCCAACCAAAACAACCGGGAAGATCCAGAAACACTACACGAAGCCTTTTCTGCATCAGACAAAGAGAGATGGAAAGCAGCTATACAAAGTGAACTGGACGGCCTTGAAGCTTCAGGAACATGGGAACTGGTGCCACGACCGAAGGAGAGACAGGTCGTAAAGTGCAAGTGGGTAATCCGCAAGAAATACGACAAGAACGGTGACCTGAAGAGGTACAAAGCACGGTTAGTACCGTGCGAATACTCCCACGTGGAAGGAACCGACTACAAGGAGACCTTCTCTCCTGTTGTCAAGCTGAAGTCCATCGGGACGCTGCTGGCCATAGCAGTCGAAAGAAACTGGAAGATCCACCAGGTTGATATCACGGCAGCATACTTGAACGGTACACTGAAGGAGACCGTCTACATAAAACAACCGCAGCCTTTCGGCGATTTCAAGAAGGATGAAGTCTGCCTTCTAAAGAAGAGCTTGTATGGACTGCGACGGTCTGGAAGGGAGTGGAATCTCATCTGGACAAACTGCTGAAGTGGCAGGGGATGACAAGATTGAAAGCAGACCCCTGTGTATATGTCAGCAAAGAGAAGAAGCTCATCGTAGGAGTCTACGTTGATGACCTCTTGATCATCGCAGAAGAGGAGAAAGCGAATTTGACGCAAAAGACCTGGGGGAAGCTAGCCACATCGTTTCCATACGACTGACAAGAGAAAGGAATGGAAAACTGACTGAGGCATGGCAGATGCTAAGGCAGCATCATCTCTTTTGGATCACGGAAGCAAGTACCAAAGAGGAGAGAGCGACGACCGAACGAGAGAAGACCTGCCGTGCAAGTACAGACAGGCAATTGGTAATGTAGTGATTGCGCAGGCGAGCTGGTGGATGTTAACCATTTTGCTCTTAACCCGAGACTGAGGCAGGAGAAGAGGAAAGTTTCAAAGTAGAAGAAAAATGAACAGTCGCGGACACGTCTCTACTGGTGCGTTGCTTTACCTTGTAGAAGGAACAAGACCGGACTTGGCTTCTGCCACCACATACATGAGTCAGTTAAACGAACATCCCACAGAAGAGCACTGGAGTGGCATAAAGCACATCCATCGCTATGTGAAGCATACGAAGAGTTATGCACTAATCTGCCAAAGAACTGGGAAGTGTGTGCAGGTCTTTTGCGATGCAGACTAGGCTAGTGACAAGGCTGACAGGAAGTCATTCAATGGTTATGTGTTGACGCTAGCCGGCGCTGCAATTTCCTGGAGCAGCAGGAAACAACAAAGTACTGCACTGTCAACCGTCGAAGCAAAGTATGTGGCCATGTGTCATGCTACAAAGGAAGTTATGTGGCTACAGAACTTCATGAAGGAGCTTGGTGCGCACGAGTTTCTACAGGAACCACAGGTATTGTTGGTTGACAACCAGGGTGCAATTGCTCTGGCGGAAAATCGTCAAGTAAGAGAGAAGCAAGCACATTGATCTGAAGCACTTCTTCCTGAGAGAAAAGGTGGAAGAGGGAAAGCTGCAACTCCAGTACAACGAATCGTCCAGTAACTCTGCAGACCTCTTCACCAAGGCCTTGAAGTGAAGGCTGACCGTCAAGCATTGTGAACGTTTGGGTGTCAAGAACGTGGACGTGGCGACAGTCTATTAAGGGGGAGTGTTGGTAGTGTAATGAACTGTTACCAGATGGCGCCACGAATCCAGCGCTAAGGTCGTGCAGCCGTTCCGCTATTGTTTGTATTTTTCCCCTCTCTTCCCGTCTGATAAACAAGATGTCAGCTTGGCAGCTGTATGTCGTTTCTTCATCCCCAAATCCACCTGATCGGCGTCCCAGAAATGTGGTCACTCTGCGCACTTGAGATAAACGAACAATATCCTCCTCAAAAGCTGCATTCTTATTCGGCATTTCATTTCATTACATTTCATTTCATTTTATTACCTTAAAGACCCCCTTTTAGGGGGTATTACATAAGGGGTGGGGTTACAAAAATAATCAAACATAGGTGCTGGTCTTCAGGATGAGAGATGATTGGTAACATTTTCGAAGAAGATTGATGGGCAGGTGATGGCAGCAATGTGGTGGGGAAGGCCGTTCCAGTCTGGAGCTGCTCGGGGGAAGAATGACGCAGAAAAAGTGACAGTGCGAGCGCGTGGGCGAGCAACCTGGAGAGGATGACTGGTGCGGTGAGATATGCGTGTGGGAGGTACGATGTAAGGTGAGATACAGAGGGGGGAATTGAATAACTTGTGAAACAAACAGAGGGTAGCGATGCGGCGACGACAAGCGAGACTAAGTAAACCTGATTCAGCTTTCAGGGGTGATACGCTGGTATGGTACGAGTATGAAGAATGAATGAATCTAGTTGCGCGATTTTGGACTGCTTCGATTGCGTTGATGGGGTATACTTGGTGAGGGTCCCAGACGGCAGATGCATATTCAAGTTTTGATCTTATTAGTGATTTGTAGGCGAGTAGTCTTACTTCCTGAGGGGCGTGGCGTAGTTGACGTTTAAGGAATCCCAGGGTTTTGTTAGCAGATGAGGTAATGTTAGTAATATGCGTACGCCAAGATAAATCGCTGCAAAGGGTGACACCAAGGTATTTATATGATTCGGTTAATTCTACGGGGGTGGTAGTGATGGTATAGGGAAAGAAAAGGGGATTGCGGCGGCGGTGAAAGGACATAACTTTACATTTAGTAGAGTTAAGTGACATTAACCAACGGTCGCACCATTGCAGCACGCGGTTAAGGTCGTTTTGGAGAGCAGATTGGTCCGATACGTTAGTGATGGAATGGTAGATGACGCAGTCATCTGCAAACATGCGAATATTACAGGATAAATGTTGCGGTAAATCATTAATATATATTAAAAATAAAAGCGGACCAAGAACAGACCCTTGGGGGACGCCCGATGTGACTGGGATGAGATTAGAAGACTGGTTGTTAACTAGGACAGATTGGGAGCGGTTGTTAAGAAATTCTTTGATCCATCGTAAGATATTATGGTCCAAGTTCAACTGAGCACGTTTTAGTAGCAAGCGCTGATGAGATACTTTGTCAAATGCTTTTGAAAAATCTAAAAATATGGCGTCAGTTTGTATGTTAGAGTCGAGGTTAATGTGCAGATCATGAAGAAAGAGGGCTAACTGAGTTTCGCAGGAGAATCCTTTACGAAAGTCGTGCTGCGAAGGATGGAAGAAGTCGATCGAGTCCAGAAAATGCATGACTTGAGAAAAAATGACGTGTTCCATGATTTTACAAGGCACGCTCGTTAGAGAGATAGGGCGGTAGTTTAATGGGGATTCTTTATTACCTGATTTGTAGACGGGAACGACCTTTCCCACCTTCCAGTCTTCCGGAATGTTACCTGTAGAAAGTGACTGAGAGAATAACAAGGTCAAATATGCTGCAGAGATGTGTTTAGTATTTTTCAGAAGTTTGGAATTAATTTCGTCTACGCCGGCTGATGATGACAGTTTAATGTTATCAATTACTGACGCAATACCATCAGCAAAAAAAGTGACGGGAGACATTGGATACTCGGTGTTTGCAGGGAGCATTGTAAATGACACATCAGATTCTGCAGTGAAAACCGATGAAAACGCGGTGTTGAAAACGTTCGCACATTCAGCATCATTCACAGGTTCGCCCAATTCATTGATAATGGCAACAGTACGGTTTTGCTGAGGGTTTATCACTTGCCAGAATTTTTGGGCGTTTTTAATCAACATATTTGGTAGGTCCACGTGGAAAAAAGAGTACTTGGCGTTTCGGATTGCGGTTAAATATGCATCCTCAGCCGCGTAGTATTTTTCCCATGCACTAGGGCCAGCCGACAGATTGGCTGAGCGGAAAAGACGTTTTTTTCTGTTTTTTAATCTTTTGAGGCTTTTAGTGAACCACGGTTTATGTTGATCTGCGTGGAAACTGAACAAGGGGATGAAATTATTTGCTAGCTCGTTTAACTTATTTTTAAAAATCAACCAATTTTCATGAATTGACTGGTTGTGAAATGTTCCTTCAAAAACTGGAAAAAAGGTGTTCAGCTCGTTATTTATAGTTTCATAATTTCCTTTATTGTACAGGCGAATTGTTTTCTTTTCAATATGACGTTTTGCAGGAGTAAGTTTAAAGACAGCATGAATAACTTTGTGGTCACTAATCTCTCGAAGGTAGTTTATGGATGATAGACAGTCAGGTTGATTGGTTAATACGAGATCTAAAATATTTGCAGATTCGCGAGTGACGCGCGTTGGTTCTGTTACCGGCTGGGTGAGATTAAAATTGAGACAAACCTCAATGAATTCTTTTTCTTCTGAGTTGCTTACAGTTAAGGGTGGTGGGTCAATCCAATTAATATTTGGGAAATTAAAGTCACCAAAAAGAAGAATTCGTGCATTTGGGTACTCTGCAGAAAGTTGACATAGTAGGTCGTTTAGTTTACGGGAAAATTCGGTACTATAATTTGGTGATCTGTAGCAGATGCCCAGTACAACTGTTTGCGGAGAAGCCCGACATATGAGCCACAATGCTTCAATATCAGAGGGAATGGTAATGAGAGAACAGGACAACTGTTGGCTAACGGCGATGAGTACACCTCCACCTCGTGCGCCTTTCCGATCATTTCGAAAGATTTGAAAATTTGGCAAGTCAGCAAGGACTTCTTCGTCAGTGACGTCGGCAGTTAACCATGTTTCAGTTAGTAGTAATATATTGCTGCTGGATGACGACACGAGATTAGATACAAGATCCCGCTTTGAAAGGAAGCTCCGTATGTTGGTAAAGATAACAGATAAGGAAGTATTCACACGAGGGGTGGATTGAGGGCGGTTTATTGGTCGTTGATAGATTGGTGATTGTTATGCAATTTCTTTGACAGTTTGTGACAACTCGTCAAACATATAACGTTGTTTGCCAATGAATAATGTTTTGTAGCGTAGCGAGAATGGGACTGCCTTGTTTTTAGCAAATGTAACTAACTGCTTCCGGGCTTTTTGGACGGGGCGCGAGAAATCTTCGCCAATGCTAAAGACGGTGCCCTTTAACTTACGGCCGTTCGAAAGAATGACCTCCTTGGTTTTAAAAAAAGTTAGTTTCACGATTAATGGGCGACAGCGTCCGTTTGTGTGATGGCCGAGACGGTGAGCTCGCTCTATATCTGTAGGTTCAAGCGTCACGTGGAGATGATCAGAGCATAACTTAATTATTTTTTCTTCGGACTGGACAGAAGTCTCATGTGGGACGGGATCAGGAACGCCGTAAAATATTAAATTGTTTCTTCGCGAGCGGTTTTCAGCATCGTCCATTCGGGCGTTCATCTCTAAAACCATATGGGATGTTTGAGCGGTATCAGCGCGTGCCGTCTCGAGGTCCGATTGCAAGGTGTCAATTTTTTTGTAATGAACCTCTAGTTCAGCCATTCGCTCATTCAGGTTGGCTATATTTCTGTCCGTAGTTTGCAGTTGGGCTTTGAGGTCTTGTACCTGGGAAATTATCCGAGCCTGCCCGACAGACAGTTTTTTTAATTCAACAAGTATAGCTTCCGTAGGTCCCGGGTTGGTCTCTACGTCGCCAGACAACAATACCACTAACAAGGAATGCATGACTTCAACGCACTCAATGGCAAGAGACACACAACACTGCGGGCTCGGCAGCTGTACGAGAAAGTAATCACTTGATTTTTTAGAATAAATAACATACGGTTTACTAACCTGCATAGCGAAAGCGAGTGGATTAGTTGACTGTGTCGCAGCACAGCCACCGAGCCCACAGAGCCGCGCGGGTAGCTGTCGTAGCTTTATAGTTGACATGGCTGGGTCCGTTGATGATGGTGATGGTGTTCCTTGTGCTGGGTCGAGGGTGTAGTTTCCGATCGAAGGCGTTGCCACACGAGCCGTCACGCAGAGGGAGGACAGATGGCAATCACCGGTATCGCGTCCACAGTACGTAGGCACACATTCCGAGGTGACGCTGGGGAAGGCAATCAGTAGAGCAGGAAGTAGCACACGGGTGATGACGGGGGAAAACACCTGCATAGCGAAAGCGAGTGGATTAGTTGACTGTGTCGCAGCACAGCCACCGAGCCCACAGAGCCGCGCGGGTAGCTGTCGTAGCTTTATAGTTGACATGGCTGGGTCCGTTGATGATGGTGATGGTGTTCCTTGTGCTGGGTCGAGGGTGTAGTTTCCGATCGAAGGCGTTGCCACACGAGCCGTCACGCAGAGGGAGGACAGATGGCAATCACCGGTATCGCGTCCACAGTACGTAGGCACACATTCCGAGGTGACGCTGGGGAAGGCAATCAGTAGAGCAGGAAGTAGCACACGGGTGATGACGGGGGAAAACACCTGCATAGCGAAAGCGAGTGGATTAGTTGACTGTGTCGCAGCACAGCCACCGAGCCCACCTACAGGGAATTGTAAACGTCTCATTTTTTTTGGAACACAATTAATAAGAAGTCATCCTCTGCTTGCACATATTGAGCAGTAAGCTAGTACCATCTATTAAGCACCGACCGGCATACACTCACTAAATTTGGTATCACCCTGAGCACACCTGCTACTTAACATGGCATTCTTTTTATCACTGGAAAGCAGCACAGGGACAAGCAGCCAGAAAATTGGGCGGCCTGCATCAACACTGCACACTGGCCCAAATTGAAACAAGCTATTTTCACAAAAAATAGATGCAACAGCTAAGATTGCGCTTGACCTGCAAACCATAGGCTGGCTCTACTCGAGCCCAGCTACTTTCACAACTAATAGCCGCAACAGCTATGATCGGGCTTGACATGCACACTGCAGACTGGCTCTACACGAACCCAGCTACTTTCAGAAATAATAGCCGCAACAGCTACGACAGGGTTCAATTTTTACACCGTAGACTAGCTCCGCTCAAGCCTAGCTACTTTCAAAACCAATAGCCACAATGATTGAGAGCTGAGTGATCGAGCTTGATCCACATGAACACAAAACGATTTCCTGAGAAAGAAATAAGAGTGCACTCGAACTATGTACAGGGGTGACATTAAAAACATTCTTGTGGATTGTCCTCAGGATTAGCAAAGCACCAGTCAATGTGCGGCCAGCAACTAACGTGGTCGGCCCGGAAGGATGGGCCTTCGGCCACAAGGTCTTTGTGGCCCCCGGGGTCATTTTCCTCAAGATGCCGAAGTCCAGGGAACAAAAGATTACCAGCCTTTGGACTGGTAATTGGACGAGGATGAGGCGCCCCTTCAGCCTGAGGCAGCACTGCTGCCGTTGGAAGGGCGACCACCACCACCAGGCCTACGCCGACCGGGACCGTGTTGTCCACAACCAGTTTGGAGGCCCAGCATACCGCCTGCAGGCTGCAGACAGGCAGTATTATAAATACCTGTTTGCACAACAGGCAGAAAACATGCCACTCAAATGAAATTTTGTCCTTCCTTAACTAAATACAGCCCTCGAGGAGCTCAGAACGGCACAGGCGCAGTGCACAAAGCAACAAGGAAGACGCAGATTGCGGCTATTTTTTATAGAGAACAGTGCAAAAAAGTCTTTGCATTGCTTGGGCAGGCTGCTCAACAAGAAGGCCCATAAAACAAGAGAGGGGAGAGGGGAATTGTAAACATATTAAAATTTTTTTTTTCTGTTTAGTCTTCTTCAATGTCCCCACCTTTAGTTTCTAGCATGCACAAACCTTCCACTTCATTATTTTGTTTGGCAGCATGCAAAACTAAAGAAATTATGGCTTCATAAAAAGGTTGCAACAACGTTTAGACACTCAGCCAATTAAAAGCGAACGTCAAAACGACAAAAACGCCTGCCACGGCCGCACCTCTCAAGAGAAGGTTTGCCTTCCGCACCACCGCATTTGTACAGGCTTTTTGAGACTTCATCGCCGAGTGGCATGCAGGCAGCGTCAATGCGTTTAGTATTTGTGTCGTGCCGTGAATGCCGTGAAGTTCAACGCCGTTAAGTTCACCGGCACTGCAGTTTTGAGGTTATTGATATAACTCTTCTGGTGCTGGAAAATCATAGCGTCTGCGCAATACACTAAAATAGGAACATGCACAAGCTACAGCACAAAGCGAAATCCTATTTGGATCGCATTCAATTACTGTTGGCTCTAGGTAGAGTCAGTGGCGTACCACAGCTCGGAAATTGTATAGCAAAAACTCGCAATGCAGAACCCAGGGGCCCTCGGCTCAAAGCTTGTAGCTCAATCCACACCCCTGCCCATTGCACAAGAGAAAGACGCCATGTATGTTCAACAGAAAACTAAACTCTGTCTCACCGTCACTTGGCAAAGAGCAAGTGCTACAGTCCCCTCCATTCAATCAGTGACAGAGGCAAAGCGGAACCCAAGCAGTTGAAGTGGGAAAGGAGGAACTTGGAAGTTGCTTTCTCTCCCCTGAAACTTAACCTCTAACTCAAAATTTTCACAAAAGCGGCTATCCTCTCTTTTTTGCCCATGTCTTTGACAGCACTGCACGCACCTAGTGAGTCAAGTCTCTCTTCCCAACCTGCTGATTGGTTAGCTTAGACTGTAGCCTTTGCCGTTTCCCAATTCAGGTATGATGTAATGGAGTACAGAAAACCTGCGGCAAACAAACGAAGGAAACCCAAGGGAGTTAAAAAAGAAAAAAATATGTTTAACACATTCTGACTAATATCATAGCAATGTTGCGGAAACAAGGCTAAAAAGAACAATAAGAGCTTTTTTTAAAGTGGTGAAGTTATACCCAGCAAAATATTTTGGTTAAACTGTATTTAGCTACGGAGCAAAATGGCGTGCTTTGGCTCTGTATCTGTATTTCCGCAGAAAGTTGACCCCTCATTGGCATCAGAAAAATTAACGTGCCTCATTATCGTGTCTGACAGCGTAAGAAACGCAGAGTGTATTTTAATATGGTCACGCTTTTACGTTTGCAATTATTTCTTACTGGAAAAAGTCGAAAGCTCATTGGCGGAGGCGCGAAATTAAGATACGCAGAACGTACCGCACCCTTTAGAAGAGAAAACAGCGTGATGTACCCAAAAGTCATAAATCTAGCGAACTGAGGTAATAGGGCCTGTGAGGATCATGGACACAGAGAAGTCAGGATCGGGTGTTTCAGCTCATTGTCTGTGGGGTTACAACAAGAAACATAACTTTGGACTCCGCTTATTGTGATACTCGATACAACTGTACTCAGCAGTTCTTTTGCCAGGCCCCATTATACTGCTGCTGTTTGCCATGGCATGGTAGCTATCGTAGGATACGCTGTGCACATAAACCAGTTTGTTCATAGTCTGGCTATTCAATGCGCAGTGTGCCCTTTGCGCTTTAGAAAAAGGTAGCTCCGAGACATCTTACAGGCACACTGTTTCTCTGAAAGCAGCTGTCCATAACACCTACCTTTCGATTACAAACCCGTGTTGTTCCGTAAGCCTGGTTGTACGTACACTCCACTGGCGCGGTGGGCGAGCGGAAAGGCGCTACCACCCACGCTCTGCACGGGTTGCTGCAGCAGCCTAGGAGGAGGCCGCCGTACGCGCCCGTCGCGATGTTCTCCCCGTCACTGCTCTGCGACAGCACGTAGGAATCGTGGATGCTTCCGGGTCACATGGCACCACATTCAGGTTCCTCGAGCGCGCGTCCACAATCAGCTGCACGTTGACGGAGTGACCGTAGTGCTTGTTCACTAACAGTTCCTCGTGCACGGCGGCCCTTGGATCCGAACGTGGGTGCCGTTGATGACTCCCACGACGCCCGGAAAGCCGCCCATGACGTAAAACTTCTGCTGCAGTTCGGGGAGTTCCGCTGCTGTTGACCACCCGAAGGAGGAAACATGGTTTACACCGTCAGTTGAATACTATAGCAGTTTCCATTGCCGACATAGTCCTCAAAAGAACGAAGCTTGCCGCGAGATATGATCAATACACGTCATTCGCTACCGTTTTGAAGAGTTTGCTCCTCTTCAAAACTCACTCAAGTATCCACCAGCTGTTTCCACTGACAAGTTGTGAAACTCGTTATTTCAAAACTGTTTTCGTAATGAGAAACTCGCCGTGATACGACCGTGCCACACCAAATACAATAAAAAATAGAGAGAGCTTGGGGAAAGACCACTACACAACGTTTTGAGGACGCAATGACGGCGCTGCATGTTGCTCAGAAGAGCTGAACTGAGGAACGGACGAAAACAAAACTGACGAAAACAAAAGTCTCGATTGCTCCAAAATTACTTCGCAGCTGGCCGCTTAATAAATGTAACACATAGTTGAAAAGGAACGTTAGAAATAAGACTGTTTTCTTACCTCCAAGACTCCGGTGATGCGCATGTTGCCATCGCGGCGAAACCGAAACCTCGTCAGAAACGTCGAAGGGGCGAAATCGGTCCTGGAAAACACGGTCCGACCGGTCCGAAGGTGCCGCGGAGTGCATTCATGCGGCAAAGATTGTTTGGAGCCGGTGTCTTGTGGCCACGTCCGACATTTCGTTTACTCTGAGACCGCCAGTGAGCCTTCTCCGTGGCTGTCTCACGATATGAGACTAGAATTGAGTCAGAGACTCGGTTTTGGTCTCAAGTCCAGACTAAGTTTCCTTTCGAGCAAGTGGCTAACCACTGGGACTGTCTCAGTTTGGGTCTCCGTTTGGGTCTCAGTTTGGGTCTTAAATCGGCCACCAGCTAATTTGCTACCGGGCTGTCTCACAGCTTGAGACACAAGTTGAGTCAGAGACTCGGTTTCAGTCTCAAGTCAAG